CGCCGGCGCGGCGACCGGCCGCCTGAGAAATGCGCCGCGCGGCATGCGGGCCGACTCGTAAGAGCCGCCAGCAACAAGCCGCCGCGCGGCGTGCGGCTCGCCCTGCACATCAATTGCCACTCTCACTGCCACCATCTCTTCAACTGCTGGGCTCTGCAGCACGACACTGCCACCTCACACTTGCCGCGACTATCTCACGACCGTTTCCGCATGCACGCGCCGCTCTCCCTTACTGCGACCCGTCACCTCAACCCCTCCCAAGCGCGCCTCAGCCTCCCTCAGCCCTCCTGGCTTTTCTCCCCCCCCCTCCACACACACACCTTTCCATTTCCACGGCCCATGCAGTGAGCGCGTACGTGACGCATGGCGTCTTCCCGCGGGAAAGCTGGAACAAATTCAAGGCGGACGACGGCAACGGCGCCGCCGCCAACGGCGGCTTCCGGTTCTTCTGGCTGTCCGACTCGTGCCCCCAGACCACCGCCGCGGTCAAGGGGCGGCAGCCGTTCGAGGTCCTCACGCTGGCGGGGCCGATCGCTGCGGCTCTGCAGATCTGAGCGGCCGCACGGGGCCCGGTTTGGTCTGCGGCGTGCGGCGCGCCGCCCCCTGGGGCCAGGGCGCCGGGGCAAGGCGGCGGCCGCCGCCGCGAGGGTCTTGGCCTGGAGGCTGGCCAGTTGGTTTGCGGCAATGCAGCGACGCCCCGGCGAGCGCGGCGGCGGCCGCGCCGCCGCGCCGCCCCCGGCTGCGCGGGCGCGCACGTCGCGGCGCTCCACGGGGCGGCGTGGCCGGCAGCCCGGGGCTCACCGCACCCGGATGCCAAAGGACAGCGTGGTGACAGGGGATGCGCCGCCCTTAATGCTTGTGTGTGCTGTTGAGCACGATCGTCGCACGTGCTTTGCTGCGCTTCCACCGCTTTCAAGGGCTTGGCCCGCATCGCATCCCAACCACGCATCATGCACACAACCCTGTACACAAAAGCTGTACGATTTCCCCCTGTAAATGCTCCACTGATTTTCAATGGGCAGCGGCATGAACGGCCCGTTCAGGCGCTCGCCAGGCGCGGCAGCTCAGGGCCGGCGGGGTGCACCGCGGCGCCACAAGGCGTTGGGGTGGCAGCCTGAACCACCCCGAGCGGCCGGTGGCCTGGGAGCTGCATGCGGCAAACGGCGACGGGCGAGGGGTGGTGCTGTATCGTCTGTGGGCGCAGCAGACCTGCATGGACGGGATCGAGCCGCCTTTCCTTGCAGAGAGCCCCGGTGCTGTGCATGGCAGCGCCTGCAGCGCAGCTTCAAGAGTGAGAGCGTGGTGTTGGGCGCGGTTGCGCACACCAGATATGTACACATATCAAGAATACATGCCCCCAACTTGCAACTGCGCTGTTACATTGTGTAACTGCCAGGGGCTGACCGGATAGATGCACGGACACAGCACAGGCCAGCAGGCGGTTTTGGCTGGGTGACGCCTCAAGCGGCCAGTCGCCACTTAGGCGGTGCGCGCCTGCAGGAACTATCGTCTGCAGATATTGGCTATTGCAACGCGCCATGTACCACGCCTCCGGCGATCAATAGAAACAGATCGAACGGTCCGGCGTGATCTGCGTTTCCCGGAAGGATGGCGCTTAGGCAGGCCGCACGATATGTTGTGCCTCTAGGCGTGGCCGCTGGCGCAGCCTACTTCGCCGCAGCAAACCAGCAGCAGCTGGTACGTGCCCGCATGCCCACACGCACGCCGCGCTGCCGCAGCGACCGACAAAGCACCCCGGTTACTGCTTGTATCGCAAAGTGTCCTGCCCTCGCCCGTCTTTCGCGCGCCGCTCCACGCTGCCAGGCGCCTTTCTGCGCTGCGGCGGACAGCCAGGGCCCCGCCCTGGACCCCAGCGAGTGGCGCCCCCTGAAGCTGGTGTCGAAGCAAAAGCTGACCCACAACTCCTTCCAGCTCAAGTGAGCGCCTTGCAGCTGGCCCCTGTTTCCGCCAACGCGCTCTTCTCTCGCACTCAGCCCCGCCTCTCTCTGATCGCTGCTTTACCGCTGCTTGCGAATCGGCGCAGTCGCAACCATCTTGGTGCAAGGAAAGAAGCCTTGCATGCGACAGGCAACGCAGGAATGCTGCTGCACTGCGAGAACTTCCGGCCTGCCGGGCATCCTCCGACCCTCTTGCGTCCTCCGATCCGCACCGACTATGCAATGGCCTCGGCCCCTCGCGGCTGCCCCGTCTCCTCCCAGGTTTGCGCTGCCTGACAGCCAGCAGGAGGTGGGCCTGCCTGTGGCCAGCTGTCTCCTCGTCAAGGCCCCCATCCAGGGCCCCGGGGATGAGAAGCCAAAGGTGGTGATCAGGTGAGATTGTGCATTACGTGTGTGTGGTGTGTACATGCACGTATGTGTATGTAGGTGTGTATGCGTATGTTTGTGACCTCATTTTGTGTGTGCAGGTGTATGCGTATGTGCATGTGCGTGTGTGTAATGTATGTGCTTGTGCGTGTGCGTGTGTACATGTGTGTGCGTGTTTCTCCGGTTGTTGGAGTACTTCAGCATCAACAAGAGAGATCACAACAGAGAGTGTGTCCGTGTGTGAACGTGTGCGTCGTGTGTAAGCAGGCTTTTGTTGTCGCGCGCATTTGTCAATCATGTGTGGCAACGGCAAGCATGTGCTGGCCAGCGTTCGTGAGCGCTGTCGTTTGCGAGGGGTATTAGACAGACAGAGATGGAGGCGGAGGGAGGGCGGAGGGAGGGCAGACACCCGGTGCAGTGGCGCTGCTGTGCAGTGCCGAATGCTGGACCAGCAGCATGCAGGCCCTACATGGACTCCTGCGTTCCCCCGGGACGAAGCGCGGCGCATCGTTTGTTAAAACCTCCGCCCATGCCTGCTGCGCCCTGCCCCGCAGGCCCTACACACCCATCTCGCCGCCCGATGCCAAGGGGTGCGCCCGCACCGCTTCCGGCGCAGCGGCTGCTTCCGCACTGGCGCATCCACCCGTCAAACAAGCTGCATTGCTCGCGACTGCGCCAGCGCGCACCCTTCGCCGTTGCGAATCACACATCCGGATTGCCTTCCTGCCTAGGCTGCTGCCCACACTGCCGTCGGCGCCCCCACTCACACCCCCCCCCTCTACCACTGGGGCTCCGACCCCGGCTGGCTCCCTCCTTCCTTGCAGCTACCTCGAGCTGGCGATCAAGGCTTACTCGGAGGGCAAAATGTCAAAGCACCTCGGCAGCCTGCAGGCACGTGACCGCTGCGGGGCCGACGCGTTTTGTTTTGTGCACTCCAATTTCAATGCGACTCGAGGGGGCCCGGCTCTACGGTCAACGATGGGGTCAACCGTTGTGCTGCTATCCCTGCCCACTGGTCTGACTGGCGCCGCCCTGCACTCGCATTCGTCAAATGCATGTCAGCATCCTTGATGCTGCCCACCCTCTCACTCTACAGGTCGGCGACACTCTCGACTTCAAGGGGTGAGTCATGCGCCGCCTTCCCGCCGCCGCTGCCCGCCATCCACGCCCTCTCCGTTTGCATGAGCCCCGGCCAGCGGCGGACAAGGGCGGCGCGCGTGCCGCGCGGAAGCACGCCCCCCGCCACGCACGCCAACGCGGCGCGTCGAACTCTTAGCAGCCCTCTTGCCCCTCCTGTCGCACCATCCTCCACCACACCGCCCACCCACTGCGTGTCTTGCGCTCGATTCTCCCACCCACACACCGCGCCCCCCCCCCCTCCAACCACCCACCTGCACACACAAAGTCAAACCCGGCCTGTGCGCCCACCAAC